AATGAAAATCTTATGGATCACAACAGAACCTCATTCTACTCACTTGCTTTGTTTATGTCATCAGGAGGGATCAATCACTAGAGGAAGACATCATGTTAGGTGAGATAGAGAGCCAACAAGGGTATGGGAGGGAGATCCTTGGTGAGATGGACTGGCAGAGTAGCTACAACAATGTACTCAAACATGCTGATGATTGTGAGGGTAACAAAGTTTCATTGTGTTTTACATAAGGTTGCCATGAGCTAGAGTCAACACAGTAGCAGCTAACAACAACAAAAAGTAATCCTTTCTAGGTGATAGGAGCTCTGGTAGCATAGTGCCTAAGGTATTTGACTGCTAACCAGAAGGCTGGTGGTTCAAACCCAATAGCCACTCCTCAGAAGGAAGGTTGGCCAATCTACTTCTGTAATGATACTGCCTTGGAAACCCAAGGAGAGGTTGCTGTGAGTCAGATACAACTCTACGGCAGTGGGTTTGGTTTGGTTTGGTTGCAGGTGATGAAAATGTTCCCAAGGTAGATTTTGGTGATATTTGTACAATTCTCTAAATTTGCTAAAAACTACTGAATTGTACACTTAAGTCAAGTGAATTTTATGATATTTAAGTTATAACTCAATAAAGCAATTTAAAAAAAAAAAAACTCTACATGAATTTTAACAGTTTATAATTTCCAAAATCAGTATTCTTTCAATTTCTGATGGTTTTACTAAAGATATTTCAAAACTTTAATCACTTCTACTCTGCCACCAATTTTTAACTTCCAAAACAGGTTGTGAAAGTTAATTCTCAGGAGTTTGATTCTTTTTCTTCAATCTATATAACCAAGGTGACAATTTTGATAGAGTTTCTTTCATTCCCTAATATCCCAATGAGCTGATGTAATCAGACAAATGAATGATCTAATGACTCAGATTATAACACTACTTTACAAAACTGTGATGATTCTAAAGCCCCTAAGTCTGATGATGAAATAAAAATACCACCGGTCAAATAAAATGATTTATACTTTCTCTGGTATGTACAATATAAATTATTGTCTAACTCTGGCATGATACTTACTTTTGCATCCTAGGTTTTTTTAACTCTTTTTTGCCCCTTCCATATAGAGAAAAATATACTTTTATTCACCTCAAATAGCCCCAAAGATATATAGCACTAATCTCTCCTCAGAGTTCAGGAATAAAGACTTCCTCCAATTAATTGATTCCTCCAAAACATATAACTTAGACAATAAAATAACTTGCATGTGTTTCCTGTAATGAATTTGTCCTTGTGAAAAATAGAAGATGAAAGATACAACCTACCATTTATTTCTCCACAGACGTCCAGACACATTGCTGATTAGTTGCCCTTCCTCCATTTGCTGTTCCATTACTACTAGTCTCACTAATAGCTTTCAGAAGTAACTGGCTTGGGCTGTGTTAGATCCTCAACAACTGTGGTGGTAGGTTGTATTCCATCATTATTCCCTTAAGTATCTGCCCTAACAGGTATCTATTTAAATTGAAAAACTTAAATCAGAGTCAATTCAACAAATGTCTATTTAACAACTCACTATTTAACAGGCCCTGTATAAACTAAACTCACTGCCATGGAGTCGATTCCGAGTCACAGCAACCCCCTTTCGGTTTCTGAGGCAGTAAATCTTTACGGAAGTAGATTGCCCGGTCTTCCTTCCACAGAGTGGCTGGTGGGTTTGAACTGCTAGCCTTGTGGTTAGCAGTCAAATGCTTTAAGCATTACACCACCAGAGCTCCTTAGGCCCTGCATATATAGGATCAAATAAGGAATAATTTTTTCCTTTAAGAAGTTCATGAGCTGTTAGGAGAGGATGAACCATAGCTAAATATGTCAGACTTATAAATTAAGTCATAATACTTTTTTAAAAAATGCTATGGAGAGAGAGGTGGTAACTGGGAATAGCTGGAAAGTTTTCAAAGAGTTGACAAGCAAAAAGAAAGTTACACTTCAACTGGAACAGATTAGTGGGGAGAGGGGTGGTAGAACCCTGGGGAAGAAAGTAGAGTGAGATGTGCCTGAAACACGAGGTAAATAAAGATATAATGGAAAATGTGTATGAACTGCTATATGGAGAATGAATTTTCTCTGTAAACTTTCACCCAAATCATGATAAAAATTAAAAATACAAATAAACAAAATGCTATGTAGAAAAAAAAAGATATAATGGGAAACCTGGCTACAGTCTGATTATGAAAATACTAACCAAAAAAAAAAAAAAAAAAATCAAACTCACTGTTGTTGAGTTAATTAGACTCATAGCAACCCCTCCTTGGGTTTCCGAGACAGTATCTCTATGGAAGTAGATTGCCCAACCTTCTTTCTGAGGAGTGGCTGGTGGGTTTGAACCACCAGCCTTCTGGTTAGTTAGCACTCAAATGCCTTAGGCACTATACCACCAGAGCTCCCATATGTATTATTTAATTTTCAAATCCAGGTCTCCAGATTTGAAATTCCAGACACTATGAACCACTATGTTCAGTATTCCCATTTCCCATTTTGAATTCCCTACAAAACTGAGGTACAATATAGAAAAGTAACCACTCCATAGACACAGCTAAAATTTATGAGCCACGATCTTGAAATCTATAAATAATAAAAAAATTCTCACCCGAAAAGAGCTGTTAAAAGGTATTTTAACCACCACTTCTCTCATTAACAGTCTGCTTCCATAAAGATTTGCTGCCTTGGAAACCCTATGGGGGTCACTATGAATCAGTATCAACTTGATGGCAGTGAGTTTGGGTTGGTTTTGGTCGCTCTCATTAAATCTAGGCCATCCTTCAAGGCCTAGCTCAAATGCTACCTGTTCTGCAAAGCCTTTCTTGATCCTCCCAGCTGTAAATAATCTCTCCTTTAAACTTCATAGCATTGTATCTGTATCAATCTCATGGGACATCATATTATGTGGATCATCTCTTCTTTTTAATCTCCTTTAGTGTGATCCACTTTCTCCTCTTCACAACTTCTACGGTAGTGACCGACAAATAGTAATACTAACTAAATCTACAGAGCACTTATTCTTTGCAAGACACTTGTTGTTGTTGTTGTTGTTATGTGCCGTCGAGTCGGCCCCGACTCATAGCGACCCCTCCTTGGGTTTCCGAGGCAGTATCACTACGGAAGTAGGATTGCCCAACCTTCCTTCCGAGGAGTGGCTGGTGGGTTTGAACCGCCAGCCTTCTGGTTAGCAGTCAAGTGCTTTAGCCACTATGCTACCAGAGCTCCCTTGCAAGGCACTGCTAAGTATTATTACAGAAATTTTCTCATGAAATCCTTACAGCAACCCAATTCACTCCTTCAGTAGCTCCTATTATAATAGATAAAATGTTGGACGCATCTGAAGCTCAGTAAGCAAGACCAATATGGTCCCTGACTTCAAGGAGCTCACGGCCTAGGAAGGTTGGTATTAGTGGGATCTCCAAGTTATAGAGATGAGGTACGTGAGGCTCAAAAAAAATTAAGTAATCTGTTTGCCCAGAATCCACAGCAAAAAAAAAAAAAAAAGTGGCAGTCAGGATTCAAATCCAGTTCTCCAGATTTGAAATTCCAGACACTAAGAACCACTATGTTGTAAAGGAAGTGCTTGATAAACACTCATAAAATGAAAAATTTCCCAAGGATAATGAAAGTTTTCACTCTACTGCTAGTCTTTTCTCTGAGAGGAGCAACAGCACAAGTCCAGGTGAAGGTTGTAGTAGTATCCGTACTCACCTGGTAGTTCAAAACTGCTAATTTAGTGACCTGTGGAGAAGACTAGCTGAGGGTTAAGGATTTCCTTGAGCCTGTGCTGTGTCCTTTAACCTAGTCCCTCCAGAGCATCAATGTCTCCAGGAACGCAGGGTGGTATAGCTGAGTTACTAATTAATAGAACTTGGGCACTATCTCCCACTTAACAGAGTGGCGTGAAACATAACCATGCAGAGTTGCTTACTTAAACATGGTACAATTATTCTTGAAAGGTGGATTCAAACCCCCAAGAATTCAACTCACTCACTGCCGTTGAGTCGGACCCTACTCATAGCGACCCCTCCTTGGGTTTCCGAGGCAGTATCACTACGGAAGTAGATTGCCCAACCTTCCTTCCGAAACCCCCAAGAGGCCTCCAAAAATGGGTGAATGCATCCTTCTCAATGGTGTGGTGAGGAAACTACCATGAGGAGATCAAGAGACCCTACTACTCCTCTGGTGCTCCTCGGCCCCTGCGGGCCAGAAACCCAACTACTTCCGGCTACCACATTGCTGGCTAGAGTTACCCTCTTCAAACATCACTTTGCCAGCCGGATTGTTTGGCCCGACATCACCATATCCTCAAACAAAAGTGATTCTAGAGTGGCGATACCCAACGATATAAACTAGGCGGAGGCGCCTGAAACCGTTTGTCTTATTTCCCTCAACTTTTTGGCTCAACACCAGACCACTTGATTTTACACCAGGTTCAACAAGTACAGTAGCAGAGAAGACCCCTAAAATTAAGTCCCCGGCCATGGGACTCACAGAGTGTACTCAATGAACGGGCCTAAGCAAGCAAAACGACCCGGAACCCGCGCCATTCTCACACGCCGCCAGGCCCCTCCCCGCTACTGCGTTCGACAGTTAGATGGGACGACAGGCGCGCACAGGCAGCCGCCTGGACGCAGGAGGCGTGGTGGGCGCAGGCCGCCCCAATCCAACTCCCGCCAATCGCCTGCTGCGCCGGCTCCAGGCTCCACCATCTCCGTGAGAGCGCTGAGCGCATGCGCATAGGTAAGAGGGCCGGATGA